TTTTATTTCCTTCTCTTCATTTATTCTTCGGTTCCCTTTCTTCTTTTCTTTTTGCCTTCCTACTTTTGTTCCTTGTATCCTTATTCTTTCTTTTCTCTCTTTCCTTTCTCCCTTCTCAGTCTTTCATGTTATCTTTCTTCATTTTTTTGTTTCTTTTTTCGTTTGTCTGTTTGTCTCTTGTCAATGTTATCTCTATACCCCAACTATAAACTCCTTGAGGGAAAGATACTATTTCAGTACTATACACGTCTCAAAGCTCAGTAAATACACTCCAGTGGACTAAAGAATAGTCTTCTGGGCAAAATTGACTAGCCATTGACTAGCCATTCTGTTTCCTCATGTATAAAATGGAGATAATAATACAAGTACAATACATATTATTGTGCTTCACTTTATTGTGCTTTGCAGGTATTGCGGGTCTTTTTTTTTCTTAACTGAAGATTTGTGGCAATACTGTGGTAAGCAAAACTATTGGCTCCATTTTTCCAACAGCATTTGCTGATTTCATGTCTCTGTGTCACATTTTGGTAATTCTTGCAATATTTCAAAATTTTCAGTATTATTATACTTGTTAATGGTGATCTATGATCAGTGAGTATGACTAAAAGCTCAGATGATGGTTAGCATTTCTTAGCAATAAAGGATTTTTAAAATTATGGTATATACATTGTTGCTTTTAGACATAATGCTTTTGCACATATAATAGACTATAGTATAATGTAAACATAACTTTTATATGCACTGGGCAACGAAAAAATTCATTCAACTCACTTTATTTCTATATTTGCTTTCTCGCAGTTGTCTAGAACTGAACTCACAATATCTCTGAGGTATGAGGGTCAAATGAGATAGCACACATAAAAGAGCTCAGAATTGAATCTGACATGCTAAGTGATCAGTAAGTGTTAGTCATTACTAATATAGACATTTGTATCCATGGCTTTTGAATTATGAAAGGCAATGACTTCTCCCTTTTGCTTAAGCTGGTTTAAGTTGGGTTTCTACCACTTGCAACCAAAAGGGTCTTATCTAATACAATTACCATAAAGCATAAGGTCCCAGAGTGTATAGGCTTATGGCAGGCCAACTTCCTTTCTGTGGGCTGAGGCAGAGAAGGAGGATTGGCTCAACTGAATCTGGACCATCTGGCTCCTTTTAGTTGATGTCATCAGTAATTTTACCTGAGTATTTTTCCAACTCCTAGTTAAGAAAAGTTTTCTCATCACCTTCTTATTTATATTCACTAAAATCCTCCTTCTTCTATGTTGCCAGTTAATAATATCTCTGGTATGATTATTTGTTTTTAAATACACATAAAAATACAAAAAGTGGGGAATTACACATGAGAGAATAAAATGAAAGAAAATATTTCTATAATTAAAATATATTTTCTATTGTTTTCAATGTCCCTAAGCCTTAGGCTGGAAACATTCATGTACTAGTTTACAGAAAATAATATTATAACTAAGCAGTCTACATGCTAAATAGCATACTTTCTTGGTGTAGATTTCTGGAGGGATATGCAAGGGATTTGCATGTTTAATTCCCATTAGCACCTGTCACTGGGATTTATTATCCCAGAGTTAATTCTCCACTCACTGCAGCCAAGAAAAAGGAAGCCCTTGTACATGGATTTAAATGAAGCTTTTTATTTTTCAAAATGTGATGAATTTCATGTTTGTCCCTCAAACACCTGCAGTAGTCCAACCCGGAAAAAGTCATATTTAATTCATTTTTGGTAAAAATTTGCCCTAACTTGATTTTATTCAACAATTAGAAAAGCCTGTTCATAATCTGAAATTTTTTCTTGGAGGAAAAAAGAAGTTTTAATCAAGGACTTAGGTTGGTTTTAAAATTCATTGGCTCTCATTATTCCATTCAATATTCAATAAACACTTATTGACCACCTATTATGTGCCAGGCAGTTTTCTAGGTTCTGAATATAGAGTGGTTAAAGTACTAGGAAAAAAATTCCTCCCCTTCAGGATCCTCCATTCTGTTGGGGAGTATGCATACATACATATACACAAAAACATAGGCATACACACAGACACACATATACACACATATGTATACACATAGACACACATAGACACATACACATATATTTATGAAGACATATATACATGGACATATATATGTTTATATAGAAGGACTGCTATGTAGAAAATCAAAGCAAGTGAATTCAATTGAGTGTTAAAAGATATATGCTATTTTAGGTTGTTGGTCAGAGAAGGTCTCTAAGCAGTGACATTTGAGCCCAGATCTAAGTGAAGTAAGTTAATAATCCAATGCTCAGAAGCCTATGAAACACTGCATTATCTATTTCATAAAGAAAAAAATAAAACGAGCAGAATGTTGATACACAAGGGAAGTTCCATCTGCAACCATAGATTGTAGAAAACTCACCTGCTTAATAAGGCTGATGCATCTGCTGGTACTTTTCCTGTCCTTGTTCTTATGCTCTTACTCCCCACTCTGCTTCCCATCTCATTTCTACATGCCACGTCTCAAACCATTCTCCTGCCCTCTTTAGGCTGAATTTCAGTATTGAACTACTTTTTCCTTCTTGTCTCTTCCTCTTTCTTTCAAAGAATTAATTTCATGCAGTATCTTTGAGCACTTCAGTGTCCCAAACAGGATTGCATAACAATTTAATTCTATTTAACTAACTAGACTTTGAGGATTCTTCCCTATTGAAACTTTATGACAATCAATCAATCAATCAATCAATCAATATTGATTGAGCACCAACTATATATTGGGCTCTGTGTTAGGAGCCGGGGATGAAATGATGAACAAGGCAAAGTCTCTGCCTTACAAGAGTTAAATCCTAGCTAGAAAAGATAAGCAATAAAATTGTAAATGAGTAAGCAAAAAAACTTTCAGATGTTACTACAATGATAGTGAGTATATGTGAGGATTTCTTAGTACCTAAGCTGCTGTCCTTCCTGGAAAAATTGTAAAGACAGATATGAAATATAATCACAGCTCCTTCTGGTGATATAATCCTCAAAATAAATAATGGGCATAAGCTGCCTAGCTGCACTGTCCATCATAGTTGCCACTAGCCATGTGCCTATTAAAATTAAATTAATAAATTACATTAAAATACCAGATTTGTACTAGCCACATTGCAAGTGCTCAATAGTCACATGTGTCTAATGACTATCATTTTGGAGAGCATAAATATGAACATGTTCCTCACTGCAGAAAGTTCTGTTGGACAGCACTTATCTAGATAGCATGCAGCTGATGAAGCTCTTTCATCAATGGCAAGAATAGTAGCTAACAATTTCGTGTCAGGTCCTTCACATATCTTGAACTCCTTGATTTCTCACAAAGTCCTATAAGAGAGTTACTGGTACTAGACCTATCTTATAGATATAGAAACCAAGGCACTTAGTTTTATTGTTCAATATCTGTCAGCTAGTCATAAGAAATGCTAAGAATTGAATCCAGACAGTCTGGAGTCAGAACCTACCCTCTTACCAAAAGATCCTGGTATCTGATATGGGTAAGGGAAAGTGAAGAGGGTAAAGGAGAGATTTTAGCATGACGGGCAGCACCTCCATAGGGGGAAAAATGGCCAGATTTGTCAATGTCTTTGCCAAGTATGACCTTTTCAAGATCTATCAGACTCATCCAAGACAGGTCTTACTGGCTAAAGGTTTAGATGGAGGTTGGCAGGCAGAATCATGGAATGCCAGCACTGAAAAGAACTTTAAAGCCATGTAATGAAATATTTCATAGATGAAAAAACTGAGACATGCAGTTTACCTGACCTGTCCAGGATAACAAAGTGAGATCTCAAGCTTCCTGCCTGTGTGTGTGTTTACACATTACCCCCTTGGCACCAAGAGCTTAAAATTTCCATGATATATTATTTATTATTAGTTTAGGAGTGTACTAATCTTAGGAAGAGGTTTCGTTCTCCCCAGAATGTTGGACTTGCCAATGTGTATCGACCTTTTAATTCATCCACTTTTCCTTTTGTCTAGCCTGTCATTTTTTCCACCCATTCTTACATTCTTCCGTCATCATTGCAACAGGGATCCAAAACCTAACTACCCAGGCTAGTCTTTCCAAATAAATAAATAAATAAATAAATAAATAAATAAATAAATAGGGGGAAAAGTATAAAAATGCATAGCATCAGTTTGAGTTCTTACACCGTTAGGAATTTGGAAAATATGTCATAGGTTCCACCATCACTTTAAGTGAGTACCTACAAATTTTGTTGTGCATCGTTTCTGGGAGTTTCAGTATCAGGCATCGTCTCACCACCGTTTACATACTCAACATTGCCAGCCACCAGGATGCACGCAAATAAAGCTCTATTGAAGAATGAGTTTTCCTTTAGCTTTTAGTTTCTGTTCCACTACGGAGAAGTCATGGGCACCCAGAACATAAAGCAGTCTGAGTGGCGCTGACAACCCCAGGATTGCAGCGGGTTGGGACGCTGCAAATCTTCTTGCCTTCTTCCCACCACGCAGCACTTCAACTTGAGCCCGCACCCAGCTTAATCAATCACAAGACCCCAAGTCGTCGAGCGAGTCCAGCCCTGGGGAGTCTGGCTCAGGCTTTGCCGGCACCGTGGAGAAGCTGGCAGGAGGCAGGCTGAGCTCCAGTGGACACAGCCAAGAGGCTCGGGGCGCGCCCGCTGCGCTCTTGGAGTCCGAGTCTGGCGCACCGCGGGAGGCAGGCGCGCTCCCACTCTCCGCAGCCGCCTCTGCCCTCAGGTTTCTCTCGCCCCGGCTTCCGCGGGTGAACCAACAGCCGGTCTCCACCTCCGGCGCTGGGCGCGCATCTCCCTCCAATCCTTGCTTACATAACGCGGGCGGGCGCGCTCCCGCCGCCGCTTACCCCCCAGCGGAGTTGGGCTGCGCCCTCCACGCCTCCGTGGCGAGCGCCTCTGCGCGCCCGTGCGCCCCACGCTAGGAAGTGACTCTCCTTGGCCACCCAGCAGCGGCAGCCTGGACGTCTCTCCGCCGGCGTGAGCTAACTGAGATTGGAGACCAGAGAGCCTCACTGTGCCCAACTCCCTCCCTCAGCTCCCACCTCCTCCCACTTCTCGCTTCCTCTCCCTCCGCCGCCTCCCCCCACCCCCTTGCCTGTGTGTGTTCGGCACTGAAGAGGGGACCCGGAGAGCAGTCCAGGCTCGGCGCGCGGCGGAGCTGCGGCTGCTCCTGCTGCTGGGGGCAGCGGCGAGGTGGCCGCCTTGCGCCTCCCCGGACTTCCCAAGTGGGGGCAGAGCAGCCGCTCGCGGAGCCGCCAGTTAGAAGGCACAGGGAAAGAGGGACCGCCAAACTCCTCCTCAGCGTCTCCTCTCCACCCCCTTTTGGCTCCTGCCCTTGGAGAAAGTGGAGTGTGGCTCTTGGTTATCATTATTTCTTCGGACTGCTTCGCGGTGCGCGGATTCTCCTGCTTCCCAGTGGGGTTTTCCGCTGTTGGCGCGTCTCTCCGTGTGGTTCCGCCCGGCACACCTCTGTCGACGATGAGGAAAGGTCTCCCGGCGACAGCGGCCCGCTGCGGACTGGGACTGGGATACGTGCTGCAAATGCTCGTGCTACCTGCCCTGGCCCTGCTCAGTGCCAGCGGTACCGGCTCGGCCGCTCAAGGTAAGAGGGTCCGCCAAGCTCTGCGGCCACCTCCCTTCGCTTCTTCCTCCCCTCCTTCCTCTCCTCCTCCCCAGTTCTCCTGGCTTCCTTAAATCGCCTCCTTGCTCTCAACTGGAAATCAGCTTACATTCCACTTTCCCAACTAGTCAAGAAGCTTCATTATTTTTAATCCATCTTCCAAGATGGGCACGGATGGACCAGGGACGCTCGGGGTGTGGACACGCATCAGTCTCTGGGCATGTGGGCGCCTTGCGTATCTTTCGCACTTTCCGCTCCACATTCACACATTGTGGCATATTGTACACACGGAGGTTTGGAGAGACTCTTGGTGCGGGTGGTTGTGTGGTATGCCATGGGTGCACCGCGATGCGCAGAGGCTCCCCGCGCTGAGCCACATCTGGGGTTGCGGGATCTTCAGGGAGTCTCTGAGCACGCTAGACGCCGAAGGGCGTTCAGCTAAGGAAATGTGTCCATTACCGCCGAGGACCCACCAGCGCCGGTGCCACTCTGCTGCTGCTTGGGGCGCTGTGGACATGCACAGCGCAACCCGGACCCGCCACCCAGCCTGCGGCAGACCCCGGGCCGTGCACGCCTCCACACTCTTACCCTTTCCGTGTCTCCCTCCCAGTAAGCTATGGAGAAACTTAAAACCCAAGAGCTCTGGGGGAAACGGACTGGTTGTTCAAACCAAATACGAAACTCCCCTGGGGAAGCGGGCCAGTTTATAACTCTGACATTTTAATTTAACGCGTCTGAGCTTTAAAATAAGTGTCCGGGGCCTTGGGCAAAACAGGGGTGGGGAGAGGAGCGGTCAGGAGTTGAGGGTGGATGAAGAAGGAGGGGAGGCGCGGGGGCTGATTGCCAAGCTCCCTTCGTGTCCCCCGGGTTTGAAGTGGTAGCGGCAGCTTCAAGCCTTCCGAGCCCAGGAAGCGGACTGGAAGGGAGACGGAGAGGAAAGAGCCAACGTTGCCCCCTCTGGGGTGTGTTTCGGGTCACCTGGGCCCCCAACCTTCTGGCCCAGCCGAGCGCCCACCTCGGTCTTTTCGACCAGTTCTCTGGTGGTCGCTGGCTCAGGGGAGGCAGCTGTTTTTCGGTAGGGTGGGGGTGGAGGAAGCGTTTGCAGCATTCGGAGGTGATTCAGGGATCCCATCCTCTCGGTTACACTCCTTTCCAAATTTGGAGAGCAGAGGAGGTGCGGCGTTCGCCTCAACTCCCCCGGCGTTGCTCTGTGGCTCTGACACTCTGGAGGTTCCCGACTGCATGCCCTCTGATCTGCGAAGGCACTGGGGGAGAGGGCGTTGGAGGTGGAGGGGAGCGCTGAGCGTTAGCGAGTGTGGTCCGCACGAGGAGGTAAGTGATTAGCGAGGCTTTGTGAATTAGCGATTGCTACTTGGGGAGTAAATTTTGCCCTTGCCTAGCTAAGTAGCCACGCTCATAAATCCTTCCTTCCCTTCTTACCAGATGCCTCCCATCTCCGAGGTTCTGTCCTGGTTTTCTTATGCAAACTCCCAGAGCCCATCTGTCCATTTTACAAGGGAGTCTTCTGGAGAATCATAGGAACTTGTTGTAGGTTTCTTGAAATTGGTAGGAAGTTCTCTGGGTAGCAGCCAAGGGTGTTTAGAGAGGGGTGTTTGGAAGTTTAAGTGAACAACCTGATGAATAGTCGTGGAATCAACACCGAGACGCCCTTGTGGGATTCGACTACTGTTATTGGGCGCACAAAGGACCCAGCCACAGGGTGGGGCTCAAGGGGCGATGGGGGGGACTGGACGATGGGAGACCTGTTTGGGAAAAGGACAAGTTAAAGACCCCCAAGATGCCAAACAGGAGATCTAGGATTCTTGCCGAGAGCTTACTACAGCCAAATTAAAAAGACTGGCTCGGAAAAAAAAGATCAATAAAGATCATCACACAGGAGATTGTAAGTGGATTAATATTGAAAGAAGGGAGAGAGATTAAAAGAAAAAGATGCTCAAGACAGGCTGAGCGAGCATGTGGCACTTGCACTTTTCTGATAGATCAGGCAATCCAAGACTGAACCTGCTCCTCTAATCTTAAATGGGAAAATAAAATGTATCCTCGTGGGTATGTGCATTTCAGTGGTGTTCTCCATTTAGTTTAGTTCTTTCCGTGCCTGGTGGACATGCTTATGTTTGAATCTTGTGGTCTAGAAAGACGCTATAGCCTACTTTTATCTTTGTCATCCTCCATGTTTCAGGACACCAGCTCTTCCTGTGTTGTCGGTTAGGTATTAAAATGTAGAAAGCACCAAACTCTATCAGCTGCAATCACCATCATTCTAATCCATTTCCCCGGCGTGTTTACTGTTGAACTACTATTACACTTTCTTCTCAGAAGCATACTTTTATATTGGTCTAGCAGTCAGACTTCCTTTTCCTTCTAATTTCTTCTTTCGCCTCTGTCTTTGGACTAGAACACCAGGGAAACCCAAGACAATGTTGCTTCCTCAAGGTCTGATTTTCATGTGTTGAACACTTGAAGATGGAAATGAACTATTTTTTTATGAATGGAAGTTCATATGCAATTAAGATGAGAGAGTTAATTTAAGTACTTGACAGTGTGGATGAGATTTATTCTGTTAGAGAAGTACTAGAAAAATGAGAAGTTTTAGAAAATATGCATGTCTTCACAAATTGCCAAAAAAACAACAGATGTTTAAGATTTAAAACAAAAAAGCATAATAGGTATTATTTGCAAGTCTCCTGTGTTTTGTAACTGTGGTTTGCATAAAGACAACTGGCATTTTATTTAGGTCCTTGGGAGATTCTCCAGGCTTTAGGCCACAACTTTCTCCTTTCTGGCTATGCCTTAATTGTTTCATTCAGGATTGCCGGAAACTCTTAGCTCCAGGGAATTTGTGTCATTTCTGACTTCCAAGAATGAAAGATTTTACTAGGAAAAGTGTGTAAGTGTGTGTGAGTGTGTGTGTGATGTGTGGTATGTATTTGATCAGCGTACCTCAGAGTTAGTGCCCTCCTGTTATAGAAATGCATTTATTTCTGGATTACATAGCATTGATATTCTGCTTATCTAGCACCAACTAGTGTTATGAGTGTTAACATCACCAAACTCAGAACAGAAAATCAGTGAAGACTCTAATCATATTAGGAATATTTGATATTACTGTCAGTTACTTTATAATGTTTTTTTAAAGCAAATACTATACTTCTTCCTACAAAAGGGTAGAAATTACCTTCATGCATTTATGCATATTGGCTTTGGGGAGCTAGACAATTGGCATGAAGGATAACTGAATTTCATTACAGTTAAAAAATGTATTTTCTCCATGTACAGGAGCAGAGTAAATACATAAAATCACATTTGGAATTTTCAAAAAGGAAGAGTAGGCTAGTTTACTTTTGTTTAGAAAAAAAAAACGATTTTGGGCATTCTACCTTAAGGAATGCTTAAAACGCTTCAGAGGACAAACTTTTCAAGTACTTGCAAAGAATGAAGATCTATTAGATTGTTAACATTCATTAATTTCTTTTCCTTCTGTATTCTGGATCCTGGGGATTCAGGGTTCAACAAGACAAGTTCCTGGAATATCTCCCGTTTTAGTCTGGGAGCCCGGTGTCCTGATCAAAATTCATACTGATCTTCTTAAAGCAGACCCTCTAAAAACATAAAGGAGGCGTGAGTTCTATAGAGGCAAACCCTCCTAGCTTATTTAAAATTATTGTTGAGACTTAAAAATAACTGTTCTCTAATGTATGCTACCTTCTCCAATTAGTGCTAACAGCCAGAGTGTGCTCTATTAGGCCTTAACTGCATTTAGCACTTTTCTGATTTAGGTCATGGCTTTGCTGGAGCAGCAGAGGGAGTCACTCTCAGAAGAAACATTAAAATTACAGGCTGCAACCACTTCAAGAAGATAATGGGGAAGACAGTAGGGGTGGGGATTGAGCCATAGCCGCCATGCCTGCAATTTTAACCTGCTTTTTTTTTTTTTTTTTCAGTTTGACTTCTGTATTTGTGGCAGTTAAAAACAAACCTGCTCACATTTCCCCACAAATTAGAAAGCTATTAGCTCATTTGGAGAGTGCATGAGAGAGTGCAGTTCTTAACAAACGGTCCTTGTGTCCATATTATGCCTCAGACAGTGCTATTTGTTAGGGAAACAGAGTCAAGAGATACCGTTTCAGTATAAGGAAGACAGACTTATAAGCATATAATTATAACTCACTGTCTGAAAAGTAACAGTGAGCATAGGTATAGTACTTTTTGGAATCAAGTATCAACGATTGCAAACATAAGTCAGGCTAGAGTTCTAGGGGCAGTGGTAGTGGAGTTTCCAAAAATTCTGTCCAGAAGAGCTTAAGGATGGCAGTTCGGTTTGAAGTGGGATGTTCTTATGCAAAATGTGCATTGCAGTTGTTTATTGATATTAAATCTTACTTAGATTTAATGTACGTTTGGTCTGGTTTTGGGGAGGCACAAGCTAAGGGGCTGTTAGTGCTACGTGCCCATTCTTCGGGTTAGCTGATCAATGTCTCCTAATCCTGCTTCTCCCACCCCCTAGTTGTGTGGCCATGGGTGAGTTAATTCCCTTCATCTGTGCCTCAGTTTCCACAGATGTAAAGTGAAGATAATACATACTATAAGTCCTGTTATGATTGAATGAGCCAATACATGTGACTTGTTTAGAGCCATGCCTGGCCCACAGAAAGTAAATATTATTCTTTGGCTTTTAACTCTGTAAACCACTGGCAAAGACATCTAGAAGTTAAAGAAACTCAAGGCCAATGATTCTGAACTCAGACTGGGGATTGCTGCAGACACTGCTTCCCCAAAAGCAACAAATGAAGCTGTCTGAGGTGATGTTCCAAAATAGATCACTGCAAACTCCTGGACAGTGACGTGCATGGTTCCTTGAACAGTCTGGGGGAAGCTCTCTCCCTTCATAACCCCATTTCTTCCTTTCTGCTCTCTCTGGGAAAATTAACCTAATGCCAGTTCTAAAAATGACATGTTGAGTC